CGGCTCCGGGGGGCTCCGAGCCGGGGCAGCGGCACTCGGAGGTCGGTTCTCAAGCGGGTGTTTGCCGAGCGGTGCCCCCCGCGCTGCCCGGCTCCGCACGGGACTCGGGGCTGCTGCGAACCTCGAATTCCCCCAGCACCGCCCCAGCTGCTCCGAGCTGCGGGTAACCTGGCTGCTGGAGATCCCTTTTGGGCTGGAAAAGACCTTAGAAATCATCTGTTTGCAACTGCTGGTGTCAGTGCAATGTTCTTAAATCGCACAGGTTACTGCATTGTGATTGTGGAAATCATCTCAACAGAAGACGCTTCCACAAATTTCTTTTTCCCAGTCTGAGTTCAATAATCACTGTTTCTAACAGGAACATTGATGCTGAATAGCAGCATGGCAAGTACTCCTGTCTTAACTAACTTGACCCCAAATTCTTCCCGTGGTCTCTTCCTCATCTGTCTTCTTCCCTGTCTGCTGGCATCCCAGGGACTTCCTTGGGGCCCTCTAGATTCCTCCACCCATGCTGACAGCAGGGATGAAATGGAGCAGTTTGGCTCAAACTCTGTGACTCCCCTCCCAGTAATTTAAACAGAGCCTGATGGGCTGCAGCAGCAGGAGCCGTGTGCTCTCAACTCTTTTCTAGTGGGCAAAGAAAACCTTGTGTGGAGAACTGCTGAGCTTCCCTTTAGTGTCATTCAAAAGTATTAGCAGGCAGTCTTGTTGGTGTTAGTCCTTGGGGACTTCCAATAATGTTCAGGAGTTACACAGAATCACAGAATGAACTAGGTTGGAAAAGACCTTTGAGATCATCAAGTCCAACCTATGACCTAACCTAACGCTTCCTCATCAACTAAACCATGGCACTGAGTGCATGTCCAATCTTTTAAACACCTCCAGGGATGGTGACTCCACCACCTCCCCAGGCAGACCATTCCACTGCCCAATGACTCCTTCAGTGAAGAATTTTTTTCTAACATCTAACCTAAACTTGCCTTGGCACAGCTTTTAGGATTGTGTCTTCTCATTCTGTCAGTGCTGCCTGGGAGAAGAGACCGAGCCCACCTGGCTGCAGCCACCTTTCAGGAGTTGTAGAGAGTGATGAGGTCACCTCTGAGTCACAAGTGGGTACTCGAGGTAAGGGGAAGCCAAGTACAGGGGGAGAATGACCTCTCTGCTCCTGCTGGCCACACCATTCCTGATCCAGGCCAGGAGCCATTGGCCTTTTTGGCCACCAGGGCACATTCTTCTGGCTCATGTCCATGACATTGCAAAAATCACTCAAAAGGAGCAATGGTGGGTGGTCTATTACAATTGAAATCAGCTCCTAGCCAGTTCTTTCGGGATGATAAAATTAAATCTGGAGAAACATTGTAAAGCTATGTTATTACAGATAACATGGACTTGTACCTACATAAATTATCCCTCCAGCTTGTAACACTCCTTCGGGATAAGCTGCAGAGGGGTTGTGTGTCACAGGGCTCTGAGTCACTGCTCAGTAACAGATACAGGTGCAGAAAGGACAATGGAGGAATTTGGAGCTGCAGGGCTGTGACAGGAGCAAAAGTTCAGGGATCAGCTCTGTCATATGCTGGAGGGTGGAGGAGTTTCCAGGGGATGGGCACATCGCCACGGGTTTACAATGTAGTTGGGGTGTGCTGATCAGGACTTTGTAACTGCTGTCAGAGGAAATGCAAACACCTGACAGGGGGCGGCTGACAGTGGCTGCAAAGGAACATTCTTAGAGAGCTGTGCTGTGCATGAGTTGGGACCGAAGAACAGCTCCTAATTTTTGCATTTTTTATTTTTTGAGAGGTGAACAAACACCCTGGGCTTATCTGGACTTATCTGGAAGCCTCTGACATCTTTCAAAGACTCAGCACCTTCACTGAATTTTCTGTGGCACTCACGTGGTATCCACTGATACGGACAGAGGTATGCAAATATAAAGGGTAAATATACACCTTCACAATTGTACTTTTCGCTTCTGGAGGATAGCACAGGATATTTAGAGCTCAGATGAGCAATTTAAGTTCTCCATTATCAAAGAGGGCTTGAAATTCTGGTTTAGAAAAAGCCCAACCACTCCTGTTGTCTAAAAGACAATAAAGTTTTAACATAAAAAATTACTGCTACCATTTAAATAGCTACTGAAGTTATTACTCGTTTGCTTGCAAATACTTGAGAACTTCCTGTGATTCTGAACTAAATCTAACCCCTTGCCCAGACACTGCACATTCAAAGTGCCTTGCAGAGCCCAAGCAGGGCTTTAGAAGCACAGTGGGATAAATTGTACCTCGCATTCTGCCCCCAGCAAAGGAGCTGGCCAGAGACAGGAGAGCCCCAGGGACAGAAAGGCAGCTGTCAGGGTTTGTTCAGCGTTTCACAACCTTCCTGTGGGATTCATGTGCACATTGTCCCATCCCAGCTTCCTCAGAGCAGGAGGTGGATGGGACAGGGAGGGCTTGGGCTGCCTGTCCTTGGTCTGATTTGAACTGAGCAGTGAAGCAATAGCTTCACACAAACTTGGTAACAATGGGTAAATAAAACTCAAGATTTTACCTTCAAAACACCCTCTCTCAGGGGTGTATTTGTTTTACAGCATCACCTGTTTGGCACAGCCAGAGCAACTCTACACCCATTTAGTTCATGCCCAAAATGCACAGTATGCAATGGAACAAGAGGTGCTTTGAAACACCTGTCTTTTTGTTGCAACTTCCTAAGAATTAACAAGTAACAATTCCCTTAGAAAAACAATCTTTCCATTAATTCCCACTGTCTGAGCATGACTGTGCTCCTGCCTGACATCTTCATCTAGTTTGCAATAACATCCACACAAATCTAACTGAACTTTTATTTAAAAAAACAAATCCTAGCATAAAATAACGGCGTCTGAAAAGAACCACAATGCACAAATTCATTTTACTTGTACAAAAATATTTCCTTCACAAACAAGACATTTTAATAGGGCTGATGAATAAATGCACAGTACTTTGATTCATGCACTAGGTCAGAGTACATGACAGCTAAACCATATTGCACGAATTTTCAGGTGCTTGTATCTAGGGTTTGTTTTTTTCCATGTTTTTCCTGTAGGAGTTAACTGCCTAGGACAGGGAGTATCTGAAAGTGTAAGACTTGTCAAGGTTCCAGAGGTACAAGGTGCCCTCTCAATGGTGAATGGTGCTGCATCCATTTGGCAGCCAGTCACCAGTGGTGTCTCTCAGGAGTCTGTGCTGGACCAGTTCTGTTCAATATTTTTATTGATGACATGGATGAGAGTATTGAATCTTTCATTAGTAAATTTGCAGGTGACACTAAGCTGGGAGCGTGTGTTGGTATGTTGGAAGGGAGGAGGGCTCTGCAGGGAGACCTGGAACAGTTGGATGGGTGGGCACAGTCCAATGTGATGAAGTTTAATGGGTCCAAGTGCCGAGTCCTGCATTTGAGCCACAACAACCCTCTGCAGCGTTATAGGCTGGGGATGGTGTGGCTGGACAGTGCCCAGAAAGGGACCTGGGGGTGCTGGTGACAGCAGCTGAACACGAGCCAGCAGAGTGCCCTGGTGGCCAAAAAGGCCAATGGCTCCTGGCCTGGATCAGGAATGGTGTGGCCAGCAGGAGCAGAGAGGTCATTCTCCCCCTGTACTTGGCTTCCCCTTACCTCGAGTACCCACTTGTACTTCTTACCTGGAGTGCTGTGTCCAGTTCTGGCCCCTCAGTTTAGGAAGGACCTTGAGACACTCAAACGTGTCCAGAGGAGGCAACAAGGCTGGTGAGGGACTGGGAACACAAACCCTGTGAGGAACGGCTGAGGGAGCTGGGGTTGTTTAGCCTGGAGAAAAGGAGACTCAGAGGTCACCTCATCACTCTCTACAACTCCTGAAAGGTGGCTGCAGCCAGGTGGGCTCGGTCTCTTCTCCCAGGCAGCACTGACAGAACCAGAGGACACAGTCTCAAGCTGGGTCAAGGAAAATATAGGTTGGATATTAGGAGAAAGTTTATCACAGAAAGAATAATAAAGTACTGGAATGGTCTGCCTGGGGAGGTGGTGGAGTCATCATCCAAGGATGTGTTTAAAAAAGACTGGATGTGGCACTCAGTACCATGGTCTATGTGTGATATTACAGCATGGGTTGGACTCAATGATCTTGGAGGTCTCTTCCAACCTAGTCATTCTGCTGAATTCCGTTGAATGCTAATAATTAGTAGAGCTGTCACTGCAGTGCCTTGCCAGCACCTGGTGACCCATTCTGCTGCTGGAAAGGGAAGAAAGGCAGCACAGAAACTTCAGCAAGCACAAGAGAGTTTGCTCTAAAACAAACAATAAAGGCTTTCATAGCCTACGTAGATTAATACAGTGTTAATCACACAACTGTGTGAGGAGTTCATGTTAAATTCCACTGGTTCTAAATAAAGTTGACAGTTACCACTTCTATTTATCTGCCTCAAAATTACAGAAGCTCAAAATTCACAGGCTTTTCTGGACATGTTCAGTTAAACTCTTTAAGTAATAGCAAAGTCACAGTATTTGTATGATGCTTGGCAGCATGTCTTGGTTTGAAAAGACAGGTGTCTGCTAAAGAAGGCAGAACCCTTCCTTGAAATGAAAAAATGTAAACACCTTCCTTCCACTGCTAGTTATTGTCATTTTGAAATTAAGGGGCTCTCAGGAAAAGATATGGGAAAAAGAATAACGGTTCTTTACTAGGAAAATAAAAATAAAAATGCAGTAGTGCAAAAAAACTACTGACAGAGTCAGAATACAATCTGCCACCCTGTTGGTGTCAGGGTGTTGGTAGCAGTCCCATTAAACGGTGGCTGCAGTAATCCTGGAGTGACAGATGTGCTTCTGGTGAGGCAATGATCCTGTAGAAGGGTGTAGTTTTCCTCTGAAGATCCAGTGGTGATGCAGATGGCTCCAGTCTTCCTCTGGGAATCCGGTGGGGAAAGGCTGACTGCAGTGTTCTCAGTCTCAGATTATATCCAGGTAGGAATGCTTGGCTCCTCCCCCTGGGTGGAGCATCCCACAATGGGATGATGGAATTTTATCAGTCCTGCAGTGAGACTCAATGGCTCATTCACAGAAAATATCCCCCTGGAGGGAGCATGGGTCATGGAAGAGATAGAGAACACTGCCACATCTGGTTTTAACAGCTGGTAATAGAATACATACTTTTGGTTACATCTTGCATTGCAACCTAAGAGACAGCAGCAGAGGGCAAGTTCTGCACAATATTTATAATTCGTTAACAATACTTATAATTAATTTTTAAATGAAAGTGACCTCTGGCAGTTATACAACTCTAGCCAAACACAGACATTTAAACAGTTACTCACACGACAGGGTTGTGTTTTATCTTTTAATCAAACCATTCCAGATCTGCAGCTTGCTACAGTAGGATATAAATATTCAAACCCAACAGATCTATATTAGACTTCCCATAATAAAGTTTTCATGTATTACATAAAAACATAGCCTAAGGGAAAAAGGTGTTTTTCTTCTGGCCTACTTCTTTTTAAGACAGTAACATCCACCAGTGCACCTGCCACCCTCAGAATCAGAAGGCAGCATTTCACAGACCAAATCTGTACAATTGTTCACATTTTTTTCACATCCCAGATGTTCCATTTTCAACGCTGGATACATTAACTGGAGGCTCCACGATCAGTCTTGGCTCTATCAGTGCATCCCAGCTTTCGGTTATCTGAAAACAAACCACAGGCAGCACTTAGCAGGTGCCAGCAACACCAGCAGATGCAATTTCTGTGCCGTTATGCTTTTGCTTAGCACTGAACAATGGCACCACTGAACCAAGATCACAGCTCCTCCTGTGAGTCACTGATCCTATTGATGAACCTCAACCTGCCTGATATCCTGGGTAAGAAAAGGTGCAGGTAAGAACAGTGATGAAATTAAAAGCTGGTAAGAAAGAATCTCTATGTGACACTATGTTGTTTATTAGCCAAAACAAGAAGTCTGATGAATGGCTGTGACCCCAGTTAACTGAGTAACATGCAGGAACTGATTATTATGATATAAACATGCATATTCTTGCCAGAAAGGAACAATTATTCTTGCTTCCATTGATTCAATTCATTGATTCAAATCAGATGCATGATTACAAAGGGAATGTCCCTGAGGTGAACAGAGTCAGGAAGCAGGGCAGGTACCAGCTCTGGTGGCAGGACTCAGAGCAGGGCACACGTACCTTGGTGTCCTGAGGCACCGCGTACTCAATCAGCTGCTCTCCGTCTGCAGACTGGTACACCAGGTCAAACTTCCCTGGCTCCTTAGCAACTGAAAAACCAAGCAAACAGCTCAATGAGCTACAAACCAAAGAAATTTTAAATGTTTACCACAAACACTGATCAAAACTGGTTTGGTTTTGGAGGTTGTTTTGTCAATTTTTTTTAAGCTCAGAGTCTGGGTTCATAATTGTAACAAAAAATCTTGATGTAAAACTGAATACTATACACCAAAATTATGGTAATTATCTGACTACTCACATGAGAAAGTCAACAATATCTTGTTGAAATCTGAGAAAAATGCTTATATGACAATTCATTAATTCTGGCTTAAATGGCAACTGTAGAATACACAATTTGAGAAACATTCATCATTTCAGGTCTCAGGAATTGCATCTTGTCATTGCAGGGACTCACTTCCACACCCACTGAAGACACACCATTATGACCTCACACTTTCTCTGTAGTTCCATAAAATAATTTCTTTAAGAAAATGAAACCACAGTAGAGGTGAGTTACTGACCACCCAAACTGACTGAAAAAAATATTTTGTAAATACCCATAATTGTCCTTCAGTTCAACTAGCAAGGGTTAGAACTCTCAATTTACTGAGGAGAGAATGAGGAGGGGAGGAGTGTGTTGAGTATGAACCCAAGGAAATCTGGAATACTCCTGAAAGATGAAGTGTTCCTTGGATTTCTGGTTTTCCAGGTCACAGCACATGACTACAAGACCTCGGTGTCCCAGGTACATACACTGTCCTCCTGATGTGGAAAGGATCTCAAGTTCAATCTGCCTTTTTTCAGCATTCCAACTGATTATTTTTGCCTCCTTCACAAAGCAAAAAGAAAAGAATCAGGTAAGACACACTTCAGCACTGGCTAACTACTCCATATTTACAACCACTATGCTACCTGATTGCTGCCGGAGTAAATAGGTCTATTTGGCTATCAAATTTTCCAGTTTCCATGTATAAAATCTGCTAAGAATTGATGCTCAGCAATCTGTAACTACTGGCATCAATAAACCAAAGTTACTCATTGTCACCAATTTTG